CCCACAGACACCCCACTCAAATTCTCTCTTTCTTCCAAATAAATAAATAAAATCTTTATTTTATTTTATTTTTTTATTTATTTATGATAGTCACACACAGAGAGAGAGAGAGAGAGGCAGAGACACAGGCAGAGGGAGAAGCAGGCTCCATGCACTGGGAGCCCGACGTGGGATTCGATCCCGGGTCTCCAGGATCGGGCCCTGGGCCAAAGGCAGGCGCCAAACCGCTGCGCCACCCAGGGATCCCTAAAATCTTTTTTTAAAAAAGAAAAATAACAAATACTGGCAAAGAAATGGAAAATAGAAAGCTTTATGCATTGCTGGTGGTAATGTAAACTGATGCAGCCACTGTGGAAAGCTCTTTTGGTTCCTCAAAGAGCCAAACACAGAATTACTTTATGACCCAGCCATTCTACTCCTAGGTAGATAGCAAAAGGATTGAAAGCAGGAACTCAACTAGATAAATATTCACACATGCATGTTCATAGCAGTGTTATTCACAGAAATTGAAAGATGGGAACAACCCAAATGTCCAACAACAGAGGAGTGAATAAACAACATGTGGTTCACACATACAATGGAATATTGTTCATCTATAAAAGGAAATAAAGTCTGATACATTCTATAATATAGGTGAACCTTGAAAACATCATAGTAAGTGACAGAAGCCAGATACAAAAGGACCAATATGATTCCACTTCTATGAGGTACCTAGAATATGCAAATTTATAGAAACAGAAAGTAGGATAGAAGTAACCAGGGACTGGGGACAGGGACAATGGAAAGTTGGTGTTTAATGGGAACCAGATATAGAAATGTGAATTTCAGAAAAATAGAAATGGGAATTTCTATTTAGGAATGATGAAAACTTTTTGGAAATGGATAGCAGTGCTGATTGAATAGCACTGTGAATGCACTTAATGCCATTGAATTGTAGTCTTAAAAACAGCAAGTGTTGAGGGGCCTGGGTGGCACAGTTGGTTAAGCATCCAACTCTTGGCTCAGGTCATGGTCATGGATTGTGAGATCGAGCCCCATGTCAAGCTCTGTGCTCAGTGTGGAACCTGTTTAAGATTCTTTCTCCCTCTCCTTCTGTCCGTGCTGCTCATGCTCACTCTTCAAATAAATAAATAAGTCTTTTTTTTTTTTTTTTTTTTTTTTTTTTTTTTTAATGGCAAGTGTTGGGACGCCTGGGTGGCTCAGGGGTTGAGCATCTGCCTTTGGCTCAGGGCATGATCCCGGAGTCCGGGAATTGAGTCCCACATCAGGCTTCTGCATGGAGCCTGCTTCTCCCTCTGCCTATGTCTCTGCCTCTCTCTGTGTGTGTCTCTCAAGAATAAATAAGTTAAATCTTTTAAAAAATTAAAAACTAAAAAAATGGCAAGTATTATGTTACATATGTTTTATTACAATTAAAATTTTTCTAAAAAAATAAATAAATAAATAAATAAAATTTTTCTAAAAAGAGGAATAGTCGGTAGAGCATGCACCTTTGATCTCAGGGTCCTGAATTCGAGCCCCATGTTGAATATGGAGACTACTTTTTAAAAAATAGATTTTTTTTTTCAAAAAAGAAAAAGAAGTCACAATGTCTCCTAAGGTCTAGCCTTAGAAATAGTCCAGTATCGTTTTTTTAAAAGATTTTATTTATTTATTCATGAAAGACACAGAGAGAGAGAGGCAGAGACATAGGCAGAGAAAGAAGCAGGCTCCATGCAGGGAGCCCGATGTGGGACTCGATCCCAGGACTCTAGGATCATGTCCTGGGCTGAAGGCAGACATTTAATCACTGAGCCACCCAGGCGTCCCCCAGCATCATTTTTAAAAGAAGATTTTATTCATTTATTTGAGAGAGGGAATAGGCAAGAGAGCACAAGCAGGGTGAGGGACAGAGGGAGAAGGAGACTCCTCACTGAGCAGGGAGTCCAACGTGTGTCTTGATTCTGGGAATCTGGGATCCAGGATCATGACCTGAGCCAAGGGCAGACGCTTAGCCAACTGAGCCACCTAGGCACCCCTCCAGCATCATTTCTGATGCAGTCTGTTGGTCAGAACAAGTGACAAGAAAACAGACTCTACTTCCTCATAAAAAGAGCTATGGATATTGTGGCTTTTTTCCCCCTCTCTATGAGACAAATGAGGTCTAAGTTCACACTAGTCAATATTCGTAACAAACGAATTTTGTGTGTATCCAAAGTTTAACCCAGAAAAAATTTTGATTGTGCTAAATTTTGTTATCAGCAAAATACTGAGAGAAGAGTCTTTTAATAAATTCAAATGTGCAAAATGCGGCTCTGAAAAAAATGACAACCACACACCAAAAAAAAAAAAAATCACAGTGGTAGAATTAACAGTTGGTAAAAATTGGACAAAATGAGCCTGATTAATGAATCAAATGTTTCAAAAAAATTACAGAAAAAAACATGTTCCTGATAAAGATGATCTCAATCAAGTAAAAATGAGCATAGAAAAAGAATTGGGAGCGGTTTAGCTGCACTAAACAGAAAAGTGATCCAGGAATCTAATTGGCTAGATGCAGTTTGTGATTCAAAAGTATTTTCCAACAGAAATGTGTTGGAATTTTTTTCCACTGTGCTTATAAAAATGGAATCAAAGTGTCCCCAGAATAAAACCATCCTTTGTGTGAAAATGGCAATGTGAGGACAAGAGGGTCAAATGTCCTGTGCATCTTTCTTGTGTTTGATTTTATTCACCAGACACCAGATGCTGCTAATCTCCTAGGCAAGCCCCCAGAAATGCCCTGGTCATGACCCCTTTCTGGGGTGCCCTGGACCCCACCCAGACATGTGCCTCTACAGAACCCTTTGTCTCTCACAACTATGCTATCAGTCCAGGGTTTTTTGTTCCTCGGAAAGTGTGGCTCACACCAAATTGTTTTTTCTTGAGGCAGAACACCAGTGGGGAAGACCTCTCAAAACCTGGGTAAACCCCAAGACTTTGGCTCTTAGGATGGCTCCTGAGTCCCCCACACTGAGGGACCATGAGCAGCCAACATAAAGACTGTCCCCTGCTGGTCACTTGATCCTTACCATGTCCTGTCATTATTCTTACCCACCTGACTTAACGCCCACTCTGAGTCGCATTTCTAACCATGCCCATGTGGGTCTTACGGCCCCTTCTCAAACCCCCCAAGTAATCAGAGGACAATGTTGATGAGATGCATTTCAGCTTCGTACTCTGCAAATCCAAAGTCACCTTATAACTTTGTCGGGACTGTGAAATGCCCAATAGAGAAGCTGACTTTCAAAGAAGGGAGGCAAAGATCTGTTCTTTAAAAAAAGAGAAAAGGAGGGGGGTATACGGGCATGTGGGGAGAAGGAATGCATTACATTTTATTTTTACCACTCGAGTTTTTAGAAATATGTTTTGGGGCTTCTTTTACAGTTCCAGAATTTTAATAGATGCAATGTAGATAGTAAGAGATAGGCAAAGAGGGTGTGGACAGATGCAGAGAGTTAGGCAGGGGCAGAGAGAAGACACAGTGGCGGAGAGGATGCAGACAGAAGCAGAATGTAGATGGCACAGAGTGTAGACAGAGGCACAGAGAGGTGGCCAGGGGCGGGCAGTGAACAGATGTCAGTCATCACTTCCAAAACCAGATAGAAGCTCCTAGCATTTAGAAGGTCGAGATCTCAGACCTTAGAAGGTCCTCACACGCCCCACTCTCCGTCCCAGACCTCCCCCTACCCATTTCTGCCTCCCCCTCTTCAGCCCCCAACCTGAACATATAATGTTACCCTGTCTTCTGGGACAGGGCCCCTGGCCCACCCCCTCCAGGGCCCATCCCTTGGGGTGGAAACGCTCCTTTTTTGCTAAGTCTTGCCTGCTGTCAATGACTGTCCCTACAGGCTCCTCCCCAGCCTCAGTGACACTCCCCCCACCCTCTTCCTCCCTGTGGAGAGTCTTGGGCCTACCATTCATTTACTCATTCATTCATCAAGCATTTATACTCCGTTCCCACGACCCAGGCCCCTGCTCAGCCACGCTGGGGAACCCGAGGAGACCTGACCTAGGTCCTGCATCACCCACCCGCTCCCACTCCCCACCCCCTCCCCCAGGTGGGGGATGGGAGGGCCGTGTAAGCAGTGATGACACAGCCTGATCAGAGTTTTGATGGGTCACAGAAGGCACTGTGAGCTGCGGAGAAGATGCTGAACCCGGCCCAGATGAGGTTAGGGGACGGGCCTGAGCCTGGGACGTGACCCCACCCCCCACAGCCCCGCCCCCAGCACCAAGCCGGGCTCAGAAATGCGGTGCCATCACCGCCCCCTCAGCCTGCCAACGGCCCTTCTCCGACCAAACCCATTAAGCCTCTCCCTCGCTGGCCCCGCCCCATTGTTGCTCTAGGCCCCGCCCCCTCCCCGCCCCGCCCCTATTTCATTCAATCCGGCCTCAAGCCCCGCCGCCCGGGAGGCTGACCTCAAACCAATCTCGCGACCCCATTGGTCAGGGAGAGTTACTGCACCGCCTTCCTTCAGCGTTATTGGCTCCCTGGACGTCAATCTTCTTGAGAGAGTCCCAACAGTTGCCAAGGCCGAGATTTGAGGGGCAGATAATAATGGACGGCTCAGGACGGCTCATTATTGGGCAGAAAGCCCGGCTCTGGGCGGGGCTTAGGGCCAAACGCTCGGCTGCCTCCGTCCCGGGTTCTTCAGAGCCGCAGCCTTCCCTCAGGGACACACCCCCCTCTCCTCGTCATTGGTGCCGCCAGGTGTTGCTCAACAGGATCCCACACGTCGATAGGCAAAGCCGCCCGTCCTTCACTGCTTTCCTAATTTCAATTTGCTTCTCTCCTTAGAGGCGGCAACCTTCTGGCCGTAGCCAGGGCCCCCCTCACGGAATGGCCGCGGATTGGTCCGCCTTCCCGTCACTCCTGGGCGGTGGGCGGAGCCAGGGTGCCTGGGGGCGGCGAATTGGTTGCCTGGGCCTCGGGGGCGGGGCAGCCGCTCCTGTCAGCGGGTGAAATGGCAGCGGCAGAACCGGCGGCGGCCGCGGTCCCGGGGGGCGGCTGAGGGGGCCGGGCCGGGGCTGCGGGGCGAGCGGCGCGGCGGGGATCCAGCGGCGCGGCCCGGGACGGTGAGGCGCGGCACGGCGATGGCGGCGCGCTCGGCGCAGGTAGGCAGGCGGCGCGGGCCGGGCCTCCCGGGCGCCTTCTCAGGCCGGCGGCTCCGCGCTGCGGCCCGCGGGGGCCCGGCAAGATCGCGACTCGGGCCGCCTCGCCGCGGAACCCGCGCTGGGAGCCCTCGGCACTCCCGGCGGCGACCCTGGCCGACAGCCTTGGGCCGCGGCCCCCGCCCACCCTCGCTCCGGATGCCCCCGGACCCCTCGGCCCCTCCCCCAGGCCTTCCGGCCGCCCCCTCCCCCTCCCGCCCCCTCCCCGAGGGGTCGCCCCACCCCCGGCCGTGACCCCCGCCCACCCTTTCCACGGACCACGAGGACTCCTCCTGGACCCTGCACGGCTCCCCCCAGGCCCCACCCCGCAGACCCGCCCCCCAAGGCGCCCCCCGCAGGCCTAGGACCCCCGCCTTCCCTCTGTCCGGACCCCTCAGGACCCCTCCCATCTGCGGACCCCTTGCCACCCCATCCCTCCTGCCACTCCCCATCTCTGGGCCCAGACCTGCCTCCAGCCCCAAGGCTAGGAGCTTCGGAGCCCTCCCCCTCCCTTCCCTCCCCACAGGACCCCTCCCCTAGCCTCTCTAAGTCAGGATTCCTACCCACAGGCCTCTCCTCAGCCTGCTGGCCGGTCTCCGACCCCCAGCAACCCCATGCCCAAGGGCACCAGGAAAAATCACTCCTCAGACTCCTCCCAGCACACTCCAGCGGCTCACACACACCCCTGATCCTGACTGGTCCTCAGAATCCACCCTCACCTCCTGCTTAGGACCTCCCCACAGATGTCGTGAACCCTCCTCCCCTCGCAGAGACACACATCTTTCTGAGAGCTCAACACATGCGCTTCCGTGCACACACACACACACACACACACACACACTGGGAGCCAACAGTTCTCACACAGAGATGCCCATGAACCCTCAACAACTCACATGCACATCCTGGCCCCTAACACACAGACAATCAGGAGCCCCCTGATATGCAGGTGGGCGCGCGCACACACACACACACACACACACACACACACACAGCTAGACACTTGGATCCCCAGCACACACAGGGAAACTCAGACCTCCAACACAGACTCAGACAACTGGGACCTCCCACACACACACTCACACACACACAGGACTCCATAGCACTTTCACACACCTCCTTGGATCCCACCTGCCCAGGTCCTCCCGTAGCACCCAAAGCTCCCAGCTCAGGCACACTCGGACACATGAGCTGCCTGCCCTGTCCCAGCCACACCAGCCTCCCTGACCTGGTATCCCCACCGGGGCCCCGAAGGGTGGCAGGGTGACCCAGAATCTCCCAGCACCCCTGTGGACACCTGGCCCAGGCCTCTTCCCCTTTATCCATCTCTCCCTGCTTTTGCCCTTCTTCAAAGGGAAGGACACTCACTCTCCCTCCTACTCTGAAGTCTCCCAAAGGGAATAACTGCCTGCCCCCTGATTTACGCCACCCCCTGGTGGGGAAGGGGGAGTTCAGGCTGCTCCGGGCCCAGTCCTGAAGTCTGACCAGACTGGTAGGACCAGCATCCTGACCCCATCACACCCGCTGGCCTCAAATGGCAGGACCAGCACTGCTGCCAGGGGCAGCCCCGATAGCTTGAGTGAGTTCCTTCACCCACGGCCCGTGTGTCATGCCAAAATGAAACGGCTTCCTCCTCTCTCCTGGCATTTGGGACCTGGTGGGGCTGGGTTTGGGCCTGCCAGAAGCAGACGGCTCTTTGTTAAGGAATATTTTCAGAAGGGAAGAATGTGCTGAAGAGGCTTGGGTAGAAAACCCGTTTGTTGTCAGCTTGGTTTTTCCCTTGGCCAGCCTTTGATCAAGCTAGAGGACCCATGTCTACATGTCTTTCCCGAGTGTGTTGATTCCCCCCCACACCCCCCACACCCCGCCCCCCTGGCCTGCCACCCCACAGCTCTCATTCTCAGGTCCAACCTGTGGGTTCCCCTGGGCTTTTGTGGTTGACTGCGGGTGGTTTGGAAGGAGCTGCAGGTGGCTTGGCTCTGGCACAGGGATGAGGAAGAATCACAGAACTGGCGACACAGTGTGGCCAGGACTGCAGGGAGTGAGGAGGAGCCTGGGTCCTGCCCGTGCAGAATCCAGATCAGTCCAGCCCTAGCACTGCCTGTCTGGGCTCCTTTGAGCCACACAAGCATGCCTGGAAAGCCCCAGAGACGCAAGCCCAGGCTTGTTTGTAGATGTTCACCGGTGGACTCTGGACAGCCCTGGGAAGAAACACCTATTGGCTCAGGGCCTCAACTTCTCCGTCTGGAAAATGGGTGGGGGATAAATCTGTAGAACCTTGTTCTGTACTGCAGGGGAGCCAGTGAGGTGAGGGTGTGGTCCTTTGAATGTCCCCTGGGCACCAAGTGGGAGGGGTCATTGGGGTTCAGCAGGGCAGTCACCCATCTATGGGTGGTAGCAAGGATCCCTGGCCGCCCTGGTCCCCTAGTGGTAATTAGTTGACACTTCACTGGACAATGACCGTCTCTATGTAGCCAAGCTGCATCTCAGGAAGCCGGCTCAGTCAAGGTTAGAGATGGTCTGAGAGTGGGATCTGTGGCCACACAGAAGCCTCCCGTGGGGAGGGTAGGAGGGGGCCTACTTGCTGGCAATGCCGTCACCTCATGAACACCTCTGATACATAGACCTGGGTAGGGAGAGGTTTGTTTTGTCCACTTGCTGAAAGGAGGCATGGATGAAGACTCCTGAAGGTCATGAGGCACGTAGGAAACAGTCTCCACAGCCTCCCCAGGGTGGGACCTTCTGCAGATGCAGGGGCTCATAAGGCTCACCAGAACAGACTATGAACTACTTAGGAAAACACGAGAAAGCTCCCAGGGAGGGCTTGTAAATAGTATCAGTGCACTTTTACCCTAAACTAGGTGTACAGGCCTGGTCTTTGTAGTGTTTTGGTAGGAGCAGGGGGGTGAGGTGAAACGTGATCTTAGTTTCCTCTAGCAGAACATAGATGCTGGTCATTCCAAGTGAAGCCCCACCACGTGCTAGGAACTGAGTCAGGTGCTGGGGTAAGAAGGAAGGTCACATGTGGTCCCTGCCTTGCCTCTAAAGACCCTCTTGGCATCATGAGGCAAGAGCTGAAACCAGTAGCGTACCCTGATGGGGCCCATGCCACATGCTAGGCCCTGTGCCAAGCACCATTTACGTATTATCTCATTTAATCCTCCAATCCACCCAGAGGAACCAAGACTCCAGTGTGTGCCCTCACCATCACATCCTGCTGCTTGCCGTGTGGAAGCATGAGATGGAACTATGCACAGCATGCTGCGGGAGCACAGAATAGGGTCCAGTGCATCCCTGGGGCATCAGGGAGGGCGGAATAGGGATGACGTATAGGCCCAGAGAGGAGCTTACTGGGCAGGCATGGCAGGGAAGGGCGTTCTAGGCAGGCAGTGTCTAGACAGAGGCCCGTGAAGCAGGAACAAGAGTGGTGTGTTCAGGGAGTCGTGCCTTGTCTGGTAGGCCTCATCCCGTAGGCCTCGCATCCCAAATGTGATCCATGGGCCACATACTGCACACCCCTCCCTGGGAAAGGGAACCATAGTTGGAAGAGCTCAAGAAAGGCAGCAAGCCCTATCCTACCCAGGGGAGTCTGTAGCACACCTGCTCTGGAAGTCAAATAGCGCCAGGAAAAGAAGCGAGAAGGAAATCACAGGAGGCGAGAGAGAGATGTATCTTCCAAGGCCCTGTCAGCACAACTCACCTGCACTTTTCTTGCATTGCTCAGCATGCTGTGATGTGTTGGGAGATCATTTCATTGAGCTGTGTCTCCCACACCAACCCACTAGTCCCACAAGGGAGCCTGACCGTTTGTTCAAGGCTGAGTCTCAGGAGAGTGCAGGGCACATAGCAGATGCTTAGTAAATACTTGCTTCATTTTAGGATCTTACCATCTTCCCTACTCACCCATTTATGAAAGACGGCCTGGATCTCTTCCACAGGAAGAGGTTGACCCATCTGCCTTGGAGAGCTCCCAAAGGCAGGGCATACCCACCCTCGTCCTTGCCCCGTGGCCCAGCAAAACTCTGCAGCTGACTCAGGCAGCAGAAGAGATAACCATCTTGGCTTTGAAGAGCTGAGAGCCTTTGCAAGATGCCACTTCTCTTACTCACCTGTCCCTGGAAGGCTTACAAGGGCTTTAAATGTTCTCCTTTGTCATTCTCAGGGAACAAAAATGTAGAGAAATGAGGGATTTACCAGGAATGAACCTACTTCAGTGGCAAATAGAAAGTTGGTGATGATACGGGATAGTAAACGTTTTTTTTTTTTTTTTTAGGTCAGAAGGGATTCCACAGGTCATAATAGTCCACATATCAGATTTTAGTCTGAAAGTGTTTGCTGCTGCTATTATTCCCAATTTCCCAATAACAATAATTATAGTTTCACTGCATTTAACCTTTAAAGAGGGCCAGCCCATTGGGATTTGTTGTTTCATTCCACAGCTATTGGATGCCTGATAGTGTACTAGACTCTGGGGATCCAGTGGTGGCTAGACAGCCCCTACCCTCATGGAACTTTCCATCCAACGGGGAACAAATAGCATGGACCAGCTAGTTCCTGTCCTAAGCACTTGACAAGTTTAGCTCAGGTATTCCCGTGAGGCAGGTACTATCACTAGCCCTGTTTTCAGATTAAGAAATTGAGGCAAAGTGTATCACAAAGATATACAGTGGTAGGGGAGGGATTCGAACCCAGACTTCTGGCTCTGGAGTTCTCACAGGAGGCTGGGAGATCTGGGAGCAGTTGTGGACACACACACACACACACACACACACACACACAGCCATAGAAGGAAGGTACCTGGATATGGAAAGGTCCAGAGCATAGAGAAGCAGCTAGAACTGGGGAAAAGAGGGGGCAGGCAGTAAGCCCCGAATTCCAGTGACTGTCCTTGTTATCAAAGCTTGCCCATTGGTTGCCCACCCCTTGGCTAGGAAAAGGACCCAGACACCAGGCCATTTCCCCAGAAG